CTGTGGAGTGAAAAATGGTTGAAAGATGGGCTTTGTCCTAAAGGTTAGATCATTGCAAAGGGCTAGCAGTGATGGGGTTAAAATAGTCAGGCTGGCGGTGATGGGGTTAAAATAGTCTGGCGGTGATGGGGTTAAAATAGGCTGGCAGTGGTGGCGTTAAAATATAGTAAATACCAAAGAAAAAAGAATAACCAGTAGAGTAGTCACACACACACACACACACAAATTTGTTGTTATTCACAGATTTCATTTACATTTGTACAATAGTGAATTTCAAAAATAGATAAATAAGTAAATGAATAAATATTCCAAACTGATGTTTTGGTGGGTGGTCGGGTCGTTGGAACAGTTAAAAGGGATGTAGGGTTATCATATCTGAGGGTGATGTGGTCTAACTGCTGATGTGTTACTATTTATAGTGTGTGTTTGGGGGGAGTTACAAAAGTAAACCGGCACACATCAGCTTCAAACGACGAGTTGGGTTCTCTCTCCTCGGCCATTTAAAGCCACGAGTCGTCGTCCCCCTACCCTCCCCCCCCCCCGGTTAATGAATTGACCCGAATACTTTGCCTTTTATTGACACCAAGCTGTGGAAGCGGATCGATACCGGGAAAAAACAACACAGGAATCGATACCGCCCCTCAAAATTTGTCCACTTCCTTATCTGTCGGACCTGGGAGGGGGGGGGGGACTAAAGTCTAACTGAAGGGTGGGGGGGGGGGTGACTAAAGTCTAACTGAAGGGTGGGGGGTAGGGATTTACGTGGCTAAAGTATGACGTGGGGTGGGGGGTGACTAAAGTCTAACTGAAGGGTGGGGGGGGTGGGGGGTACCAGATCTGTGTTCGCATGTTATCACTAACACAGAAGGGTGGGGGGGAGAGGCACTAACATACGAGCAGGTGCAAGATCAGCCATCAATCGATAATTGAATCAATCGATCACGTGATCAAGGTCACCAGCTGTATGACGACATGCTGTCAAGGTCATCAGCTGTATGACGTCATGCTGTCACGGTCACCAGCTGTATGACGTCATGCTGTCAATGTCACCAGCTGTATGACGTCGTGCTGTCAAGGTCACCAGCTGTATGACGTCAGCCTGTCTGATGAAATGATTTTACGGCTGGTTTAGAAATAGTGGTAGGGGGTGGGGGTGGGGGTGGGGCAGAGGGTGGAAAATAGTGACCTCTGACCTACATCACGCCTGAACTCTGACCCTGAACTCTCTCACCTCTATCGGCGATACCCGTATGAATAATTGACTTGTGGCGGGCTAGATCCCTCCCCACCCCCCCCCCCCCACCCCCCCAGCCCGAGTGTGTTGTGCAGACCGCCCGTCCATTGATCGACCCACTCGACACATTTAGTATGCACACAATAGAGCTCAAGCAATGGAGGTTAGGGTTAGTCCTATCTCGTCGAATAACGGCCCGTACGCTATCTGGATCTGATCGACAACATGCCTACCACTGCCGGCCTGTAATCAAACAGCAATCAATATTTAATTAGAGGTTTGCTCTACTTCATTAGGAAAACTTGATTTTTAGCCTTTAAACATCATTCGAGCTGATTTATAAATATATACAACACACTAACACACACACACATTATACATATATATATATATATATATATATATATATATATATATATATATATATATATATATATATATATATATATATATATATATATATATATATATATATATATATATATATATATATATATAAAACATGAGGCCGATACATCATATAGGCTGGCAAAGATAAATTCCCAACATTGGCCGCATACTGGCCGGCCAATGTTGGGAATTTAAATAGAGCGGTCAGTGGGTGGTGATATTAGGCAACGCGCAAATAGATGTGTCAGGTGTGGTGTGTAGTGTGAGGTGTGGTGTGGTGTGTAGTGTGAGGTGTGGTGTGAGGTGTGGTGTGAGGTGTGGTGTCAGGTGTGAGGTGTCAGGTGTGGTGTGTAGTGTGTGGTGTGAGGTGTGGTGTGTAGTGTGAGGTGTGGTGTGTAGTGTGAGGTGTGGTGTGAGGTGTGGTGTGTGGTGTGAGGTGTGGTGTGTGGTGTGAGGTGTGAGGTGTAGTGTGAGGTGTGGTGTGTGGTGTGAGGTGTGGTGTGTAGTGTGAGGTGTGGTGTGTAGTGTGAGGTGTGGTGTGTAGTGTGAGGTGTGGTGTGTGGTGTGAGGTGTGGTGTGTGGTGTGAGGTGTGAGGTGTGGTGTGTGGTGTGTAGTGTGAGGTGTGTAGTGTGTGGTGTCAGGTGTGGTGTGAGGTGTGAGGTGTGGTGTGTAGTGTGAGGTGTGTAGTGTGTGGTGTGTGGTGTCAGGTGTGTGGTGTCAGGTGTGGTGTGAGGTGTGAGGTGTGGTGTGTAGTGTGAGGTGTGTAGTGTGTGGTGTGTGGTGTCAGGTGTGGTGTGTAGTGTGTGGTGTGTGGTGTCAGGTGTGGTGTGTAGTGTGTGGTGTGTGGTGTCAGGTGTGGTGTGTAGTGTGTGGTGTGTGGTGTCAGGTGTGGTGTGAGGTGTCAGGTGTGAGGTGTCAGGCGTGTGGTGTGTGGTGTGAGGTGTGTGGTGTGTGGTGTGTGGTGTCAGGTGTGAGGTGTCAGGCGTGTGGTGTGTGGTGTGAGGTGTGTGGTGTGAGGTGTCAGGTGTGAGGTGTCAGGCGTGTGGTGTGTGGTGTGAGGTGTCAGGTGTGGTGTGTGGTGTCAGGTGTGTTTAGATGGCGAAAACTCATCATCAAGATTTCTATAGGGCGGGAAACGCTTCATTTATAACTCACGGGTAAAAGATCTGTAAAAGATCGATAAAAGATCTATAAAAGATCTGTAAAATATCTATAAAAGATCTTAAAAGATCTATAAAACGTCTAGAATGGTCAAATAATTCAAGAAAATATTCTAAACCTCCCTGCAATTATAATTTTCATTAATTAATTAATTTTTGTATTCATTATTCGCATTATGAATTAAAAGTTTTTGAAATAACCGACCAATCAAACACCAGATTAAATAAAAACAGATCAACAAAACAGCAGATCAACAAAACAGCAGATGCGGCTGTACCAACAGCCTAGGTTCTAGCTACCCTTGACTTAGTGGAAGCCGAAAATTGCAATCAACTGCAATGTAATTACGGTAATTACAGCACAGGTTTTACCACTCCATTGTGTTTGGGGGGCGGGGGGGGGGGGGGTGGCTAGGAATATTTCCGCTAGATGGCCGCACTAGACACACGTTGGAATATTGCCACTAGATGGCCGCACTAGACACACGTTGGAATATTTCCGCTAGATGGCCGCACTAGACACACGTTGGAATATTGCCACTAGATGGCCGCACTAGACACACGTTGGAATATGGCCGCTAGATGGCCGCACTAGACACACGTTGGAATATGGCCGCTAGATGGCCGCACTAGACACACGTTGGAATATGGCCGCTAGATGGCAACACTAGACACACGTTCTTAATGGGAATAATTGAATCCAATTTGTTTTTCACCAAAGACAAATCGATAATTGCGCCTACGCATTAAACATCACCCGTTCGGGTTTCCCCATAGTAGATCAACTAATGAAGTCGGCTTCACGGGAATATAGGCGAACGATAGACCGACGCCGATAGACCGACGCCGATAGACCGACGCCGATAGACCGACGCCGATAGACCGACGCCGATAGACCGACGCCGATAGACCGACGCCGATAGACCGACGCCGATAGACCGACGCCGATAGACCGACGCCGATAGACCGACGCCGATAGACCGACGCCGATAGACCGACGCCGATAGACCGACGCCGATAGACCGACGCCGATAGACCGACGCCGATAGACCGACGCCGATAGACCGACGCCGATAGACTGACGCCGAACATGAACAGGAATAGAAAGAGAACTATCAACACACAACCTAGCCATAAGCCTAACTCTAACCCTAATCTTAATCATCAGCACAACTTCAACATGAAACATAAATATGAAAACTCTACTTGACCTGCTTCATATGTCTTGGGCACAAACGGTATTACGTCCCACCAAACCTTTTTAGATGTTTGTATGTTTGTATGTTCTCTTAGAGTTTCCATTTTTCCCATTAGCCTTTTTTGTGTTCTAAAGCTGATCGATATGAAGTCCCTCATCCCCATGTCCCTCACCCCCCCCCCCTCCTCTGCCCACCCCCCCTGTCAACTCTAATTCACAAAAACTTGTTAAGAATTCTGCTTGCCTTTCGATTCTTCTTATAAGCCCTTTCGACTTTACACGCACTAACCCCCCCCCCACACACACACTTTCCTTATTTCACACAAAAGCTGGTTTGTGTGTGTGCTCCAGACTATGTTGGAATTAGATTGAATTTGATGAACTCTACTCTCACACACTTTTTTAAACAAACACTTTTCTCCCCACACTTTTCTCCCCACACCTTTCTCCCCACACCTTTCTCCCCACACCTTTCTCCCCACACCTTTCTCCCCACACCTTTCTCTCCACACCTTTCTCCCACACCTTTCTCCCCACACCTTTCTCCCCACACCTTTCTCCCCACACCTTTCTCCTAGATGACAAATGACAGATAGCTTATGAATGACATGTGAGACTAAATGAAGCACCACATAGTTCATCAAAACAGTTTGACATCGACTCAAATGTCCAATGACATCGATTTAAATGTCAAATGACAGCGACCAATGTCAAATGACATCAACACGTGTGTGTGACATGAACTGCAGCAGCTTACCTGACCTGGCGGACATATACCTTTAAGACCTCGCTAACAAAATACGTGAAAAACTAATGAGAAAATCCCCGGGGGTCGGGGGAGGGAGGGGTTCAGATCAAACAGATCCGTTCTCGCAAAACATGACCAGTACACGCAAGATCAAAGATCAATAATCAATTTCTTCAGTTTGTATATTGCCCGTTTATTCTTTGACTTTTTGATAACTATACAGCCTCTTTAATCCGGGGGTGAATGGGGGGGGGGCGTGGCAACACATT